GTATATATATATATATATGTATATACAGTATTATATATACAGTAGCAAGTAACGGTAGTGTCGTACAGTCCAGTCGACCTCGGTGACATCCGCGAGGAGGACGAGGAGATAGTGTCGTCCAAGAGGTCCGGTACAAATCCGCGGCGTCGAAGATGATGCACGCAATGAGCGAGCATGCAGGGGTGGGTGTGTTGCCGTTCGACGGAATGGGCCTGTACGAACAGCCGCGGCCACCCCGGCTTGTCTTCAAGATGCCGCGCGTTGTGCCCGATCAGAAAGCCAAGTTTGAGAGCGACGAGCTGTTCAGAAGGTTGAGTCGCGAAAGTGAGGTGAGTCCATAGAGGAAAGATACGTAAAATACTGATACGTTAACATTATTAATGTGTACCGAGAAACACTCGTTTTGATAAACACATAAAAAAATAATATCGAATGTACGATATCTTTGATAGTGAAACGCAAAGTGAAGCGAAAAAGTGCACGTCATGAGTTTTTATAAAGAAAACGTTGAAGGAACTTACTTGGCATGTTACTTTCATTTTTATAATACTCAACGTATGCATTAAATTGGATTCCGTTTGTAAATATGCGAGCTGTACAAATATTACAGTCGATAATCTTATTATATATAACGATTCTCCAATTTATGCCCATTTCTATCAATGTAAACTTTAAAGATTAATTTTCCCTAGTGAGTTAACTTTAATTTTGATTCAATCAATGTAAGATTAATTTTAATTTCAGTTTTTATCCTTTTTATCCTTTTTCATTTACCCTTTCTCTTCTTCTAATTTCTCCCAATTATTAGAATCGAGAGAGAGAGAGAGAGAGAGAGAGAGAGAGAGAGAAATTAGAATTAGAAAAAGATAAAGAATGAATTGAATCGACTAATTTTAATCTCGATTTACTCTTCACTTTTTTCTAATTCTTAGAATTAGAAAAATTAGAATTAGAAGAAGATAAAGAGTAAATTAAAATAGAGATAAAATCAAGAATAAAAGTTAATCTTGCATTAGAACCAGGTCCAATGTACATTTCTATTAATGTCAATTAACATTAACTTCGGATTCGTTTTAATTTTATGTCCTATTCTAATTCTTAGAACTAGAAGAAAATAAAAAGTATATTAAATCAAGAGTTAATCTATATTGATAAAAACGGCCTAAGAAATAGAAAAAGATGAAGAGTAAGTTGGACCAAGAGTGAAGTAAATCTACTTTAGTGGAATTATCCTATTAATAGCCCATTTCCACCAATGTAGATTTAATCTCAGTTTAATTTACTTTCCAGCTTTTCCTAATTAATATGTACAACTAGAAAAAAAAATAAAAAGTAAGTTAAACATTATAAAATCAATCGATATTAATAGTAATAGATATTAGTAGATAGTAATAGATATTAGTCTTCAAAGACTATTTTGGAGAATATTGAAACACTAAATAAAAATAATAATCCAAACGGAGAGGTTTACACAACACTTGTCATAATTACATCGATGTAATCGTTGCTACATTAGTTCCCAGAATTAATCACTTTGTTTTGAAATCAACTTAACGTTGATTACTATTCGCTTAATCTCGATCGAATATCTCGATAATCTCGAGGAATATTTTTCGAATTACATGGCGTAATGCGCAGTGAGAAATATCGGGACAGCAAAGGATTTTCCGTCGCTTGCCGACACAGAATACGCGATGCCGTAGGAATGTTGTCCTTTCTTCGAATTTGTCCAACTGCGGATCACCCACGAGTAGCGAATTAGTATTCTATGTTCATTTCATATTTTAACAAATCTTCGAAACAGAAATTTTTGAAGTGGGAATTCGATCGAAATTCCGATACGTTTCTCTCGATGAACATCGTTAAGTGATTCATCAATATTGAAACGATAATAAAGGGACATGGAGATTTTTAGTAAATTGAAAATAATGAATTTTTATTTAAACATTGGGAAATTATTAAAATCATTGACGAGTTTTATCGTTGAGAAATTATATCATTGAAGAACTATAGGTATATGTATTATTTGTGATCAGTGCTTGTGTATTTTTTCGAAATCATATGCGAAGAAATAATATTAATTTTAATGATTTTTGCTATAGCCATTAAAAATATAGTTATCTACATATTAAATCTAATAATAAATCTAAATCTATAATATATATACACTGAATATAATAATAAATTTGTAAAAAAAGTAGGTGTATAATATATAAATATAAATCTAGAATTATATACGCAACTTAAAATTCAAATTAATTCACATTAATGCATTTTAATGATAGTTTTACATTTGTTAAACTTGAGAAAACATGTCATACATTAATATGTATTTATGTATATTGCTAATTGCTATGTATATAGCGATATTTCTGTTTTTTTTTATAGGTAAGATACACTGGTTATAGAGATCGGCCGATCGAAGAACGTCAAGTACGTTTCCAAAATGGCTGTCGGGAAGGCCACACAGAAATCGCATTTGCGGCAACAGGCACCAACCTCCAGCTTGTTTTCGGCAACGCATCTGGAAACTACCCTGTCGATCCCAATGACTGTGATTTTGATAAGGAACACGGCAAGGTAAATGAACATCAATCTTCTAAAACCATCTCGATGTTTAGAAATGGTTTAGGATTCTCCAGATCGATTCGTTATAGAAATTGATTTTTTGCAAAAAGATTGCTTCGAAATAGCCCTCTTACAATTAGTTAAAAAAGAAGCGATTCCTTACAAAAAAGATTGGTCTAAAATAACTTCTTTTAGTTAGAAAAATCAATTTTTTGCAAAATAAATTGGTTTAAAACAATTTTTTAAATTATGTTTGAGAAGATTGAAACATCCCTTTTGGAGATCGGAACATTCCTATTTCGATTATCGTGGACTTCATCCCAATGAACCGCAATCGATTTTCAATCATTTGTCTTTGCCATTCATTCTTAAATGTCTTGTCATAAAAGTTTATATCAAAATTAATTAATTATCGAAAGAAATAGAATTCACATCGCAAGAAAAATTCCTTCTCTGCAGAAAAAGGAATAAAAAGCGTCGGCTTCGAACTTAAAAGTTTGAGAATTTGAAAATGACATATTTTTCTACGATCTCAGAGTATCCTTTGCGTAAAATTCATAAATATTACCAAACTGGCGAGAGAACGGACGATCTCCGTTGCCTTTCAGCGGGAACCTTCGACCCCGACAGCTCGAATCTTGAAACGGTGGTTCCCGAATATTATCGTGCGGTCGTAATTGGTTCGTACTAGCGGCCAAATTAGGGACCGTTACAGACGTAGATGCTCCGCAACCTTTCGAATCTGTAATTTAGTATCCGTCAGTATCCGGCCACCACTTCTCGAACAATGGCGCCGACGTGTCACCCGCGCATCCGGTCCCAAGAATTCCTAGAGCACCACGGGGGTCCATTTTCAACCTGGCCCAATTTATCTTCATGTCGAACGAACGAATTTGTTGTCCGTGAAATTAAAGGACTTAGAAATCAAAGGGCGATTCAAATAACGACTGACGTAACGACGGGCATGTAGCGTTATTATTAGTACGATCGCATGGAAGAACTTCTACAGTTTCTTTTATTGTTATTTTCTGAATTTTTTTGAAATTTACAATTTTTATGAATTTTTTTCCATAATTTGATCATATAAATAATATTTTAGAAAGAGTATTCGATTTTCCTAAAATTTAGAAAAATTCCGCAAGTTAAGAAACGCAGTTTTTAAATAATCGATGCAGTTAAAATAAAAAAAAAACGATATATTGTCCTAAGATTGCAAAAGCTCGATCGGGCTTTCTCTTTAAATTCATCAACTAGCAACGCCGACGCTGTGGCCGACGCCTCTCGGCGTCGCCATCGCGATCGATAGCAGCGTCGTCGCGACGCCATTTTGCAAACTGCGCGCGCTGCTCTTTTCGCGAATGTCTGGAAATATTCCGATTACTAAATAATTTTAATTAATTTTTTAAATAACTTTATTCGTAATTTTTATAAGTCTTTACATTATATTTGAAAAAAACAATTTGTTATTTTATTTTATATATTATAATTGTAAGTTTGTATTCTTCATGCAAATCGTTACAATGTACATGAAAAATCCATCAAGAAATTATCCAAATCTGGACATGGATTTCTTAATTTATTTAAGGTCGATTTTTTTCTTAACAAAATTTTAATCGTATTTTTCGAAACTTCTAGAAGTATATTTATACTTTAAATATTTAAAGTATCAAGTATTTAAACATTAAATACCAAATAAAATTCTGTTAAAATAATTTTAATTTTTATTAAATTTACAATTAAATGAAAAATAAAAGAATCAAGTTATCTTATTCATATTTTTGAAGTTTAATTATATTCATCATTGCACTTTTGAAAAAATACAATAAATCTTGCACTGTCAACTTGAATTTTCTTCAAGATCGGGAGTCGTTCTTTCGCGTAACTTTGTTATAACTCGTAAACGATAGGAAAGTAAAAGCCACGTTGCTATTAGTGAACACTAGCGGCAATTAGCGCCATAGAAATCCGTTAAACGCCGCCAGATGCTTCGAAGCCGCTCTGCCAGTCACACAATACATAATGGCTCATAAATCTCTCCGTCTCTCGCAAAGGTCGAACAGATAGTCCTAGTAACCTGTTAGAACTTTCATAGTTTCTTTGTTCTTTCTCAGATTTTCGAAATCCGCAGTTTTTGCGAATATTTTTTTCTATAGTTTATCCATGTAGATAACATTTTAGAAAGAGAATTGGATTTTCCTAAAATTTAAAAAGTTCTGCAATTTTTTTCATGGTTTTTATAATTTTTAAGTTACTTTTTTATTTTTAAGTTACTAAATTCTTTGAAGTGAAATTTAAAGAGTAAAAACTGAATTAGTCTTGAAAAAGAAGGGATCAGTTTTTAATATTTAAAAATGAGATTTCACTTTCCAGAGATTCATTCTAAAAGTTTTAAAAAGTATACTCTTTAAATCTCGTGGAATAAAATCTCTCTCGAACAGACTGAAAATTTAACTTGTCTTGAAAAAAGTGTAAATACGGTCACTTTTGTTCAAAAATGGCAGATTTCCCACTCTTTTTAAAGTGAGATTTACTCTTTTGGAATGATTGGAATGAGATTTACTTCGAAGGAATGAAATCTCAATTCCTTTTTTGCAATGAGGTTCCATCAACCCTGCATGATATTACTCTCCAAAAAAGAAATTAAGATTTCACTCCTTTGAAGTGAATCTCATTTCAAAAAAGTAAATCTCACTCTAAAAAGAGTGAAAATGTGCTATTCTTGAACAAGAGTGATAATATTTTCATTCTTTTTTCAAAATTGGCTCAATTTTTACTCTTTTCAAGTGAGATGTCTCTTCACGAAATTTAAAGAGTATATGTGACATATAATACGAATCCAATTAACAATTAAAAAATAATTAAGAAAACTAAGAACTATTATAAAACATTTCACGTTAATTATATCGTTAAAAAATGTAACACTTCATTGTTCACTTATTACGTTATTTACGACTCCACAATTTTTCTTGACCTTACGGCCTCTTTCGTATCGGGTCTCCTTTTGCAAAGGAGACGAAATGGAACGGAAGCGATTCATTAGATCCTGCACACGGAGCGCGGCATGTTGTTTACGGGACGACCCGCTTTCTTTTTGTTTTAATCGACAATGAGCAAGGGAATAAAGAGTGGCGCGCGACCACACGTGCCCTCGTGCATTGTGCCTATATCGTCCTGTCGAGCGACGTAATAATTAAGGGAGAGATTTTATTCGCGATCAAGATAAACGCGTGATAGAGAAAGTGCGTGCGGTGCCTGATAATGACGATGCTTTTAACCCTTTGCTCAGCGAACAGAAAAAGAATGAGAGAAAAGAGAGCTGATCCGCGTAATAAAGCTATATACGAAGCCCACAAATCTTAACGTTAAATTAAAAAAAAAAAATAACTGCACTGCGATATTATCTTTCGTCGCTTTAATATTGAGTCTAAAATTAATTTTCGAAATGGAAAGATTTGAGAAACTCACACACACACACACACACACACACACACACACACACACACACACACACACACACACACACACACACATACATAAACAAATGGATAGTTAAAATCAGTCTAAAAAGTTCAATTAAAAGAATGCAAAAAAAGTCAATTGAAAAATGAAAAAAAATCGAGAAAAAGTAAAAAAAATTGCAAAAAATTAAAAGTGCAAAATAAATTTTATTAGAAATACGAGGAATGTACGAAGAAAAGTGAATTTTACAGAATCCCGAGAATGATTTTTTGGGAACTTTTATGTGTCCTCAGGTCAAGATAATGCAACGATTGTGTTTACACTTTAGTTCGCAGCAGGTCGTTATTCAAACATTGTCTTGAGGGACCACAGAATTTATAGTCGGAAATGATCCCGCGGAGACACACATCACCGTAAAAATTAAACGTATAGAATTGGACCGAAAGATAAAGGACGATGCGCCATGCTGACCATATGCCTCTAACACACGGTTTTTTTTTATCATTGACAAAACGTTAACGGGCCCCAATATAGTGGACCAGGCGCAAAAAGGCGCTGCTGGTGACGCCCATCGAGAAACAAAAGGGCCAGTGAAATAGCCGATCGTTTGTCTCGGGGATATTTAGGTATATGTTCTTCGCTCGACCGCCCTTGCCGATTTTTCACCCCTTTTCTCGCGGCGCTCGCTCGTCTCTTTCTTCTTTTTCTGCACTCTTGCTTTTTCTGCTCGCTAATGCAAATGAGAAAGGGTTACATGGTGCCGGCGCGTTACAGTTTAAATATCGCCTATTACAACGATCCATTATGCAACGATAATGATCGTCACGCCCGTGTGGAGAAAGAGAAAAACAAATGTTGCCGACTGTTCTTTCCTCGTGAGAACGAGGAAGGCGACGGTGATGACTAATGACGATGTTGTATGTCGTCCACTCCTCTCCTCGCCAATAGTCGTCGTGACGACTTTTTGCGCGTCTCGTTGCCGCTCGGAATATACATATTTTGACGATTCGTTTCGCGATGCTAAAGATACAAGGCGAAGATATCATCGTGATTATCCAAGCAAAACAACATGATAATGTTAATATGATATTAAACTGAATCGTGACTAATTAATAAGTGACTTTTAATGATCATTTTCTAACTATTTTGATGTTATTTTAATGTCATCATGATTTCTTATTTTACTTTGATTACGGAAATATGAACGTCATCACTCCAATTTGAAATGGTAAGCGCACGATTTTTAAGAAAACAATTATATGTCGATTTAATCTATTTGAAGAATATTCGTATGAGAATTTTACGTGACAACAATTTCTTTCGAATTTTATTATAAGTAACAATATTAGATTAAACAAGATATATATGAATAAATGAAATAAGTAAGAAAATGCCAAAAAGACAAGACTATATATGTTGGTGTTTAGTAATATTGCTATGTAAATTTTTAAATCATCTTTTAATTATATAAACTGTGCACCGATTATTGTTGAACTTGCAATTACAAATTGAAATAATAATTTTATAAATTAAATTGTTCATCGATTTGATAGTAAAAAATATTATTGAGCACCAATATCTAGCTTCGATTGTATTTTGGCGTTTTTTTATTTGATTTATTATAAGTTATGTTTGTTATAAATAAGTTTCGCTATTATATAAAATAAAAAAGATATAAAGTTGCAGTCTTATTTAAAAATATAATACGAGTATATAACATGAATATAAAATTCGCGATATTCTTACGAGGAAACGGTAAAGGACGTGTGTTATAAATATTCTTGCATTGGAAGACTCGGCGTATTTTCCTGCTTATGTTTCATACTTATGTTAATATGCACATCACGTAAGATTTAACGCATAATAATATTGCCTTGCCTTATCTAGAAGCGCATTAATATGCATAAGATTGCGCGGAAAAGAAACCTTTCTGTTGGGAACAGGAACTACTTTTATCGCCTCGCATTTGTTGCGAGATAAGAATGCCTTGAGATTCAATTTAGACATAAAGGCATGCAGGAAAGTCAATTTCAATGTAAACTAAAATAATCAATTCCTTAAAAAAAAAAGAGACATTAAAAACAATTGATTGTTGTAATTAAATTTTAATGGGTAAATATTTTTAAATAATCGTTAATAAAACATATGAACAGTAATTATATGTATTGTTATATTTGTAAGTAACTAATAATACTTAATGTATAATATTATATAAAATTATAAAAGTTGTTACTTAAGTTACATCAAGTTACGGGATTACATTTTATTTTTTTTAATTGTACTTTTCTCCAATTTTACTTCTGAATATATTTTATGAATAATATATCTGGACTTTTAAATAAAAAATCAAATTCGTCATGCATTAATTGAAAATGATATTTCATATTTATTATTTTTACAGTTAAAGGATAATTTATGTCCTTAATTTGGGACAAAATTTGGGATACGTGAAATAACGAAAAATTAAAATTTAGAACTGTCCCTCTTAGTTTTGGATGGTTGGTTACCTTAAATTGTAAATAATTATATTTTGTATTTTTAAAAAATATAACATAACAATTGTTTTATTGATACGCAAGAAAACGAGAATTTTTCAAAAAGTGGAAATCCAGGACTCGTAGTTCTTTGAGAGCAAAGGCCGCGAGCGATTCGATTATGGAAAACATTTAAGATCCCGCCACCCCGCGTGGTTGCTCCCCACGGCTCGATTATTACTGCATAAAAATACGTCCCGTGGTGCATTGTTGGCGAGCAGCTGTAAGTGCTGTAAGCGAAAGAATGTAACGAGATGTAACGTCGATTTATATCCACCGCCGGGGTATTCGTTCGTTCGTTCGCGTGCGCGACTCACGTCAAATTAATTGTGTTTTAAATAGAATCTGTCTATATATTAAAAATCCAACACACATTTTAGCGACTTGAAAAAAAAAAACAAACGAACGGTAGTATGGCAAAATATGAAATTTTTTTTATTCGAAAATTTATTCTGTATATTTTAAAAATAAATGATATAACTTTATGATTTATTATTTGATATCGGTATTTAGATTTAATTATTTGTGAATTTTTAATTGCGAACAATATTGATGATTTGATGATAAAGTCAGTTTTGTTATTAAATAAGTTGATGATATAAAGAATTGTTTTCGCTATAAGAATTAACCCTTAAATTATTTTTGTACTCCTTCCTTAATAATATTGATTTTAAAAATATATATATTTGAAAAAATACAGTATTATAAATAATTATATTATAATTAAAATAATTATATCGTGTAATAATAATAGAAATATGATATCATATGATATGTTATCTATATTATATTTATATATCTGTGTGATATAAATTTCTATATATACCTGTATCTCTAAAACATTTATCACCAATGTTATAAATATTGAATTACGTGTTAAAATTCTTGATTGTTAAATCGGAAATTAGACATTATATACACGTGTATCATTTGAATCTTTGACTCATCTAATTCGTTGATTGCCGCCGTTCGTTATGTCGGGATTACAAAATACGGTCTCAACTGGTTTTTCCCGAGCGTTCTTGACCTCGTAATAATATCTGGGCTCCGCGGCGGGACCGGAAGTCGGGTCGTTTGCCAGAAAATAAAATAACACCGTGTTGCATCGTCGACGCAGAACCCGGTAATCGTCAGCTTTTCGAGAGCCTTCCATTAGACTTTACTCGGAAAACGCCGCCTAGTAATTTCCAGATTAATTAGTAGACATAAGTAAAGTCAGGAAAATAACACAGGTAAACAGATCCAGATGCTTGAGATCGTGTAATTTTACAATAACATTTCTACAATTTTATATTTTTACAATATTTCTTGCTTTTTTCCTTTTCATTTCTAATAAATAGTTTAATATTTGTGTAATTTGCATAATTACTTTGTAATTATAATTTGTTCTAAAATTATATATATTCTAACTTTTGGCAATTTATCATATTAAATAAATCATTTTTCATATATCCGTCATATTACAATGAATTTTTTTTCCTGCCTTAAACTCTCTCTGCATTAGAACTGTAACTTTCTTTCTCACTTTAGCCAAATATTAAACATGTATTTATTTAACTTTAAATTCCAAAAGTATACTCTAGCCATAAAAAACATATTTAAGATAAATAATATATAAAAACAAAGGCTCCAAATAAAATAAATCATCACCATAAAAAAACTTATGAATCCCAACACTGAATGGAAAAGTATAATAAAAGAACATGTAATGATGATTAAGATTAAATACAGATGTTTCGATTTTTTGTTATACCAAACATAAATGTAATAAAGTCAAATTAAAAAAAAGGAATTAATACATCAATGTGTTAAATAGAATCTCTCCGACATTATACAAAAACATTATAAAAAAAAAGATTATTCTTAAATCGACCATAATACGCTCATATAGAATTAAAAATATTATAGGCTTGTTTCAAAGATTTTAGTCTTGTAAATTTATATTGATGTAAAATTTTTTATTGAGCAAGTCTTGAATTGAGTACAAAGTAATAATATATGCATCAACATAAATTCAGTCAAAGACTATCTTTGAAACAAAATTACAATTAATATTTTTGCTTATACATAAGCATACTATGATTGATTTGATTTAAGAAGTCTTTTTTTTGTAGGTTTTTAAAAATACATCGTATGATATTGACTGACAATTTACTAATCTTTCATAAAGATTGCAACGAATCGAAATAATAATATGCGAGATAATAATACTCGATGAGTTTTTACGGCGGCTCGTGCAAATGCCATCGAGAGTTACATTTGCTCGTAATTGACTTCTTATAAGGAACATAGCCTCGCCTCTCTCAATCTCATTTTTCCCTTCATCATCGAGACGAACCGCGAGGCCTCCTCGTACCTTCCAATCTGCGTAATCGTTCTCTGAAAATAAGAAACACTCACCGTTGTCGGACGCGATGGAGAAGAGGTTCGAGGAGCCGAAAGAACGGAGGGGAGGGGAAGAGAGGCGTGATTGAAACTTGCGGGTCGTAGAGCATGTAATGGAGCCTTCTTACAACCCACGCCGACATGAATTTTGCAAAAAGAAAGATCGAGTTGAAACGATCCGATGACGGCTTTGAGAAGAGATGCGTCTCGTCATTTTCTCCTGTAGACTTCGAAGAGCAATTTGAATATTGAATATTCCAATATCATTCACGATAAAGACATTTTGACTTAAAAACTTCAATATTAGTTAAGTTATATATTATAATAGTACTGAATTAACTCTGAAATGCCTTTCCGGTATGTCATTCGATTTTTTTTCAACGCTTCTTTCATTGCTCATCACTTTTTTTTATTAATTGTGTTAGCCATGTATCATACATCAGTGTATTATTTTCGGTGTTTAAGTTATATTTAACTAGCTTAGATATATTTAAAAAAGTTTATTAAATTTTAATAATAATAATAATTATTAATAATAATAATTTAATTTTATCTGTATAGTACTAACTAAATATTTACACAATGTAAACATATATTTATTTAATACAAGAATTATTAATTTAATTTATTAGATTTTTTTATTGAATAAATATTATTTACTGTAAATAAATACTTCCTTAGTATTATTTAAATTAACAAATATTTATTAAAATTATTAAAATAATTTCTTTTTCAGTGTATGACATTGTGCTACTAAAATAGCTATTAATTATTTTAATTGATGTAATGTATGTAATGATGGAAATAATAAGTTGCTAGCCTCATTTTGATAAAATTATTGAAATAAAATCGCTTTAAATTAAATAATAATTTCGATAACAAATAGAAAAATCGAATTATTAACCCTTTAAATTTTCGAATCTTTTCGATCCTAACATCTGTCGTAATGGACATTAATTAGACGGCAATCAATAACACATTTTAAGAGAAGAGAAAATATATTAATGACTCATAATAGACGTAAAGTTTTATCAAGTTTGCGCAAGATATATATTATCAAATATGTCATCGATTTTTTCTATCTGCAATAAAAATTGGACACCAAAGAAATTATTAATCTATATTGTAATGAATTATTTATTATCATTATATTTATTATCATTATTTCAATATTGAAAAATCTGAATTTCTCTTCTATTCCCATGCAATTAATCCTGCACCCAAGAAAAGATGTTCAACGTAAAATAATTTTATCTCAAAACACATCCCGCTTCAGAAACTTCTTCAACATCAATACCTCAAGTTTTCCATTGATCCCATCCAAGAACATCCTAATCATCCATCAGGACCCACGTGACATCAACAACGAATTCATAATAACTATACGTTCCGCATGGATGGCGATGTTCCAGGTACACCTGCGCTCACATTTGATCATGAACGGCGTGTGCGTGAGGTGGCGGGGTTGGATCGACCTGGAGCGACTGGACGGCGTCGGCTGCCTCGAGTACGACGAGGAACACGCCGCTGAAGAGGACGCGTTGTTACGTGATCAGCTCGAACGTTACAATCAACGACTGCGCGATTTCGAAGAGAAACAACGTACCTATCGGAGTGGACCAGCGTCGGCTGCACAACCGCCGCATCTTAATCATCACTATCATCACGACACACACCATGCGACCAGCCACCATCATCATCATCACGGCCACCATAGCCGGCACGTGGGTGGTGCAGGTGCCACCGGTGCCACCGCGACTGGTATCGAGCCTCACTTGCCTCACCGCCAGGATCCCGAGATGGAAGTGCGATTGCGAGCCTTCTGAGATCCGCGCAGATCCTCTGATTGTTCCCGATGATGGTAAACGACGAAAAACCTCTTGACGATAAGTCTCTTTTGATCTCGGTCTCTTGAAGTGACTCCTTTAACGCGAAATTGCGATTTTTTTTTTTTTAAACGATACCGATATTGATGCCCAACTTCCTCACCTGTTCTGCAACGTGAACGAGCGTGTCGCGTCTGATCTGTAACGAAAAGATTATTAATCAAATTTAGGTGATAGAATTGTTGAAGGAAAATAATCTTTTCGTTACAGTTCTCGCTATTAATCTATATTACACAAACAAGTGTGCAGCAATCATAAACCTGTTACATATGGATTGGCAATACAAACAAGATTGTGTTCGTACTTCTTTCCTTACATTATGTTCAGAAACATCCGAGTGCTTCTGTATCAGTTTATCTTTGTTTAACAATTCGAACACAAAGATAAAATTATACATAGAAGCATTCAGATAGTATTTTTGAAGTTTTAGAAGAATCCGGAAATATATTTCATGCATGCTTGACATATACTATATATTTAATATGTTTTATTAATACGATTGATTTATATGTTTAGATTCAATGAATAATTGAAGGCAATTCATGATTCTCTATAATATATCATCTTTTATTCTGATTTAATGTTAACACGCCTATGTTTAACTGACATGCTCTATTTCTATTTTATATTTTGAGAAAGAGAAGCATCTAAAAATATGTTTTTTTCACCTTCTCTAAAGTGTTTTTTCTGCAGAAACTAGCAATTGCCAGTCCATATCTACAAGGTTCATGGCAGCAACAAATTCGGAGGCTGCGATAATGCATTTTCACGTTTTCGGACTGCGTTTGTTTCATCGCGCAGCTTATTTCACGGAGAAAAATGATTTTGCTGTAAACGCAAAGGGATTGCAAAATTTAATTGCCAAATTTGTGTGCTGTTTATAACATTCAAATTTGCATATTTGACAAATATTTTGCATTTGTTGCGAATATAAAAAAGAATAAATATTTGTTGCACCTGCAAATAATTTGCGATCTCTATATTTGCAAATGAAATTTGCCGTTATAGAATTAGCGTTGTCGTAGCAAAATTTTTCTCTTCGTGTTCCAAGCCATTATTGCCGTCAAATTTTGTGATACGCGAGCTTTAATCTAAAGTATCGGCAAGTTTTCGAAAAACTATGATGTATCCTTTTTTCTTGGTAACTGTAAATTCGCTTTTTACAGCATGCTTTTAACGGTCGTTAACGCAGCGATAATTGGCTTTTATTAAAGTACACGGTCAGTTTTAAATATATTTATATATAATAATTGCATGAATATCGTCTTGAGGAGAACAAAGAGAATTTTGCTTTTTACCGTTGAACAAATCGATTGACGAAAAATCGATTTTTGCGACGTCACGAATTAGAAAGTAAGATCCTACTACGAAAGTAGGATCCTAAAATTTCCTCTTGTGCAACAAGAAAATTATTCGACGTCACATAAAGCGTTATGGGATACCCCATAAATTTGGCTTGTGTGAGCCTGGTAGTTTCCGTCGGCCGATATTATTTATTTAATTGTTCGTCAAGGTAAACTGTCGTCTATCATGATCCTGCGTACGATTTTTATGAACTTCGCATAAAACGTTATCATACGTTTGATTAGACGGCTTGATATAATGATTATCTCAATGAATGTTGTTGTAGTGTCGGTTGATAGTTAATTTTGATAGTTATTTTAGTAAAGTCATATAATTTTGCGAAGTTATATATATAAATATATTATAAACTGGCCTATGGTAATACAAAAAACTATTGTTATATAATTATATAATTATAGACTTATATGATACATTTTTTTTTTTAATGAAATTATATGTATATTTAACCTGAATACTCGCATACTACGCAATTATGTTTTGTGTAGGTATATTTAACTCGTAATTCAAGTCTTAATTTCGTTATTCAATGATTCGATTTTTAAATTTTCACCGTTAATATCGTATTTGAAAACGATTTGAAGTGAGTTATCGAATATACCACACCTGTTAAACTCCAAAATGAAGGAGGCTTTTTCGAAGGACATTGATGCGCATCGTTTTGTAATCAAAATAATTTTATCGGATCTATCAAATGATCACTCGAAGATTAAGATAAAGCACTCGTAACACGTGCCTCTTACATTTTGATTCTGCAAATTTTCAGCCATACGACGTCACTAATATTTTTGAAAACATGTTAAATTGGGCCTTAAAATAACGCTGTCGTTCTACAATCTAATTAAAATGATTAATATTAATCATTTGTTCAGTGATTCATGATTAATTCTGTCGCAGAATAGGCATTTTTGCGCCAGAAAGCGCGACAATTTGACATACTGTTTTAAATAATATTCACTATTTTAATGATTTAATATTTGAGTATATTTTAAAAAAGAATACATACATCAATGAATTTATCTTTTCAAGTAAATATATCTTTTTTAAATTTGGTTTTACTGAACTATTAAAATTTGACATTGATTTACCGTTTGATTTTATTGACATTACTGAGACTGTTAGGTTTTAATGTAATGGCATGACCCTTTGAGGAAGTGTATCTCTGATCGTTGGGAAAATCAGAAATCCAAATTTTGGTAAAAGGTATCATCGTTTTCCGCTGCTAGAAGACGAGATCGCAGCATCCGTGCGAAAACGAACATCATGAATTTCGTGTCTAATCGTAATGACTATTCATCAAACGAATGACGACTCGCCAATGACGAAATACGTGTGAATCACGATGATTCCCGAGCGTTCGGCTAACGAATACGATGAATCATGTCGATCGTTGTGTCTGCTTACGTTTCACGTTTACGTTGGGTACGCCATCGTCGTAAAGAGGAAATTTTTGTTATAATGTACATATTTGTAAAGAGTTTATAAATTAAAGATATCATTTGCGTCGCATTATCCGCCTGTTTCGACCTGTCCTTTCGCTTACCGAAATATCCTGCGTAATCACGAAGAGTAGATTAAGATTATTAAACATATATAGTTTAATATGCATTTTCTTCAGGTCACGTCAGTATTATTTTACTCATCGAATTTTTACTGTTTTAAGTGATACGAAATAACTGCCATAATTCGTTCCATTATTCTAGAAATTCATATTATGTATTACAATTAACACAAATAATATCAAAAATTCATATTATGTATTACAATTAGCACAAGAAGACTTCTAAAGATCTGCATCGTTTAATCTATTCCCGTATTTTTCTTTTATCATTTAACATTTCTTATACATGCAGAAATAATGTTTTTAGGACTCGTTCGAAGAAATATAATACGTGTCTAATTCAATCAATTTCTGAGAAGTTCTATGATCAACTTCATCGAAATGACGCTACATTAAGGAATGACAAGCATTTTTCTGAGTCGATCTTCTAAACAACCAGTAGTCCTCCATTAAAAATGATAAAATAGTTTCGCCGCATATCCATTATTTCGTTGTTGTATTCTCAAAAGTGTCAAAAGAAAACTTACCTTGACGTGAAAATGCCTTTGTACTTTTTCCAAAAGTTGGACACACACGAAGAAAACTGAAGGAAAGTTTGATTTGAGTTCCAAGGACAGAAGTGAAATTCACAAATTTCTATTAATCATTTCTCTGTGACCTTTCTTTTAGGCGTCCTTGAACGTCACTCGAAATATAACCGAGAAACTGGAAAGTCTTGGTTTGAAGAACTTTCAAAAAAAGTAAAATCATTGTTATGTCATGCAATCGAAGCGTGAACTATTTACAATGAATACAGTGACCTCGAATAAAACGATCCTAACATTTCTCAATTTCTATAATATTTTTAGAAAGAATTTCGTCATTATTTAATAATAATTATATAATAAATATTTATTGACGGATTCAGTTTGTCAAGCTATTGTTGCACTGCAAGAGAAACTTTTTTCACATATGAAAAGATTGATTATTAAATTACTATTGAAATT